ATTATAAAACAAATTCTAGAAGATGTTGTTCTTAAACCTAATATTCATAATAATTAACATTTATATTGAATTTTACCAACTTTGACATAGTTTATCAAAGCTCAACAGTAATCTCATTTAATCTGCTTATATGAATAAGATTAACGTTATGTGTAGATTTTTTTTTTTAGTTTAGAAAAGTTCAAAAAGTCATTTTTTTGAGAGATTTTTTTTTGCTATAGGGTGCATGCGCTCGCCAGAGAGAGAGAGAGAGAGAGAGAAAAAGCGAAATCCCCCCCCCCAGGGGGGATGGCCACACCACAATCCCTGCTCCTCCATTCTCCTCTAGGGATCTTGGGCACGCACACACACACACGTCTGGCGTGAGTTTAAGCCACCAGGTCTGGGACTCGAACCATGGTCAGCTATGTGGGAGTCAAGCGACGTAGCCATTACGCTAACTACTGGTCCCCCAAAAAGTCATTTTTCTTAAATTTAGGGGTAAAGCAACAAAGTGGAGTATACCCTTAAAGTGCATCCAACATTTGTCCTATTTTAAAATGATGCCATGGAGAAATACATTAAAATGCATACATACATATATACACACATACATGCATACATACACACAGCAACTGACCACCCAGGTATAGGCTGCTTATGGATAATTACTAGCATATAGGCTGAAACTTGTTTTAAGGGCTTATCATTTGCATCTTAGTTCGTTAACCCCATGAAAGAGGAGATGCAATGTAATGGAAAAAGTGTCCCATCAAATAGTCACACAATTGTCCCTTATTGTGTGACTATATTAATTTGTTTTACTTTCTTATGATATTGTTACAAAGCTCAAATAAGATGCTTACTATAAAAGTATCCAAATTACATTCTTCCTCAATAGCTATATGTGAACTTTAATCTTTAATCTTTTGTCCCCACATTATGAGATAATTACTTTTTTAGGGTAAGGGAATTTTCTAGCTGTTACAATGGCACAGTATCAACTTTACCACAGAGAAAATGCAAGGGCATTGTGTTTGGGAAGGTAGGCTACATGGCTGCACTGCATGTGCTGATTATTGTGTGTGGAGAACTGGGCATTCTGCTTTAACAACTAACCGCAGTCTAACTTGTTTCACACTGCATTTCAATAAACTGTAGGGCCGGGAGTGCAGAATTTCTTCAAGACTTTCGTTTTGAAGAGACGTCTCTGGGCCTGGGAGTATGTCCTCTTCCTAGGTCAAAGCCTCCATTTCACAGAGTGCCCTGTAGTCGGGTGGAGCAGCAAAACTGCGTCCCACCACAGGAGACACACGCCACACCCAGGCCCAACCTTGAAAGGCATGTGACGGTGCTTCCCAGCCAGCCTTTCCGCCAGCCGCGGAACATGTTCCAGGTGGCTTAGATATCAAATAAACAATGCTACCTGAACTATGTTGGATTTCTTACTAATGAGAAAAAAACTCAATAAACTTAATCTCAGGTAAGCCTCTGGATTTAGGGTTAATGACTACTGCACCACAGCAGGGGTAGGACCTGACCAGCAAAGGCAGTATGGTAGATTACCACACTGACCAACTGAAAGTAACAAAAATACTAAAAAGTATTAAGGGAAGTCTTTTGAAATGCTTGGAACATTTGTTAAAAAACAAAACAAATAAAAACCTTAAAAGCCAACTACTAGGTTTCGATATTTAAAAAAAAAAAAAAAAAAAAAACTCTAAAGCTAACTCTCATTTTGCAGAAGTTACCGAATCTAGAACTAGAGCTTCAGATTCTGAGGCCTCCGAGTATGGAAGGTCATAAGGAGACAAAGCTCGAGGCCTGCGGAAGAGGAATCTAAATGGACTGCACAGGAAGCAGAGGTCTCACTGGAACTCATGCTCCTGCTGGACTGCTAGACAAACTGGCCAAAGCTTGACCACCTAAATGGAGCAGAGAAGAAGGAAAAAAAATCTCCCCTGAGTGCGTGCAAGTAGACTTCCAAATTCCAGCACTGTTACACTCAGAATCCACACTGTCTAGATGGTCCAAAAAAGTCCCACATAATGTCCTAAATTGTTAATGTCTCCAAGGAAATAGGCTAGGAGAACACTCTGGAGTCTGGCAAGGGCAAATGTAAGTTCTCCTTGCATTTAATTTTTCTTTTTAAAATTAATTAATGAATTTCTCAAGAGAGGATAGAGAAAGGGGGCAGTATCCCCTATAGGGATTCCATACACAATGATCCAACTTAATCTCGGCCAACTTAGATATGTGCCAGACACACACATATGTGCCCGGTGGGCTTGGGAAAGTCTTGGGACACAAACTCAGGACTGCTTCCACGCAGATCCAGCTGCTTTGCGACTGCGCCACTGCCTGGCCCTCCTTGGACTAAATTTTAATCCATGCCTCCATAACTCCCACAGGTAAAGTCCTCAGAAACATGAGGTCATGACCCCAAGACACAGAAGAAATTGAGGTTACAAAATATAAGACAAAAGAGAACTTAAAAGTTAACTGACTCATGTTAGAATTATACTTGAATACAAAATAAATTTGATAATTATGTTTTAAGACAGAATACTGAAAACGTAAGTAAGGGGCAAACACATAAGAAACACATAAGAAAGCAGAATCATAACAGCTCAGTGAGCTCAGCAACAGAGCAGACATAGCTGAAGTCGGAGTAGAAGCACAATACGCAGGTGATGAAGAACTTCAGAATGCATCTCAGAGTGACTAAGACGGAGAAAACACACAAGACAAATTTTGAGATCTATATGATATAATTAAAGAAACTTATACATTGGAGCTGTAAAAGAAGGGAGAAAGAGAATAGGGCAATATGAAAACAGAATGGTTGAGAGTTTTCCAGAACTGATGACAGACATAATCTCTAGATGGAAAAAAATGCAGTGATCCCTAGATGAGTGTATTTTAGAAAGCCCACAATTATTCCAATCATACTAACGAGACAGAATATGAAAAACAATAAAAAGATCTTAAGTTGTTTTTAAAGATCTGGCTTATTCTATCCATATTTCAATTTTACTTTAAAAATTATTGTACTGCACTTTTAACTAGTAATCTTTTTTTTTTTTTTAACTAGTATTCTTTTAAGCAAAGGGTCAATACAGAAGAAATTACAGTTGACTATGTTAGCTATATAACCCATAAATTCAGGACACTATAATATAGCTCAATGCTTCACAATGGTAGAAAATGTCAGAGTTCAGAAACTTGGGAAACTGTGGTGTTCAGTAAATATGTAACTGAATGAGAAATCTAAGAAGCGTATTTATGCATATCATACTGCCAGTTCAGATCTTTTAATATCTTCCCATTACCTGTGGCAAAAAGCTCACATTCCATTGTTTGAAACCTAAGGCTCTCTGCAGTCTCCTTCGATGGACAGGAACTGGAGAGCAAGGTCCTCTGTAACCACTTACCTTTATCCACCACTGCCACACAGCACAGTAAGTGGCAGGCACTCATAACTGCTGACTGCATGAATGGATAGTATGGAGTTTAAAATCTGAATTATTCAGCTCCCTTTCCACACTTTTCCAGGAAGAAACAAAGGTAGGCAATGAAAACATCCAGAAAGAAAACGGAGAAACTGACTAAACAATGGTTAAGTATGCACCATATTAGCTACATTAACCAAACGCCAATATTTAGTAATGGCATGCTGTAGATGGTGAAGAGCAGAGTAAAATTATAAATAGCACATTATAGTGAGAGACAAAAAAAAGAGAGAACTATTGTCTTTTTTTTGGGGGGGGGGATTATGCACTTGCCAGAGAGAGAGAGAGAGAGAGAGAGAGAGAGAGAGAGAGAGAGATAAAGTAAAAATCATCCCCGAGAAGGGATGGCCATGCTGTAATCCTTCTCCTCTGTTCTCCTCCTGAGATTTTGGGCACAAGTGAATACATGCCCATTGTGAGTTTTAAGCCACCGGGTTTGAGACTTGGAACACACAGTTGGCTATGTGGGGTCCAGTGCCTTATCCTCCATAGCACCTGCTGCCCTTACCCACTGCCTTTTTACAAATATCACCAAATGATATTTTTTTAAAATGAAATGCACCAAGCAACCTTATGAAATGTTAATGTAGTAAGAATCCTGTCCTATGTACTATATGTTCTTTCACTTTCATGTTTTTATTTAATTATTTATTTTTCCCATTCCAATATGTATTGATATGTTTATTTATTTTTATCTTTGATCTGTAACTTAGTTTTTAATTTACATTTAATCACTGTATGTGTTTATAGCACACTATGTAGGTTCTCAAAGCATAATGCATTGCATGTCAAGCGAATCAAAGATATTACCACACATCGTAACTGTCCATTTGTGTGTCTGTTAATTGTTCTTTTTTTTTATCTCCCCTGCATCCCTCTCTCCCACCTCTAACTGTCCACCCCTTCCTAAAAAATCCCTGGTATCTACATTTGCTCTCTCTATTATATTTTCCAGTTACTGACATTAGGTACAGATATTCGGTATCTATTGATAGAAAATTTTCTTGATGTTTATCATTGGAAATGAATGATGTTATCATTAGAAATTCATTCTGAAGTCACAAAATTAATAACCAGGCAACCTATGAATAGTAAAAGTTAAAGATTATCTTTTAAGTGCTTGACAAAATCAAATCCAGTTTCCAATTATAACGACAACACTCAAAATATATGAGAATTCTATTTGAAATATTTGCTAAGCCTCGAGTTTCCCCGATGGAGTTTTTTCTCAAGTGTCATTCATGTTCAGCTGCTCAAAATGCAAAAGTGCTAAGTTTAATTCTTAGTCAATTTAATTAAAAGTTACACGATTTTCTTTCCTTTCTGGTCCAATAAAATAAAAACTTTTGAAGCGTCTCCTCCACATATTGCTGTTCAGTGAAGACAGCCACAACTTCAAGTTCACTCAGTTAAAGACACAAGCAGGTTCAATGTTTCCTCCTAGTTTCTGCAAAGGGCTAGAAGTTTCGCGGGAGCAACGTGCTAACATTACATTGGTTTTTCACTTACTGGCTGGAGCAGGTAGATGAGCGATTCCTCTTGGATTATTATAATTGGCAAAGGAGTGATGTGAGTTGCTTGGAACAGGGTATTCACAGATGCCATAATCTGGTCAAAACGCCCAGCAAGACCTCCCAGTGTCACGATCACATCAACCTAATCAAGGCAGGTAAAACTAGAAGTCACACATTTAAGTACAAATTCCAAGTTTATTCACTTAGAAAATTAGCCAACTCTTCCTTTGAAACTCTGTTTATGGTTCCATTCGTGCTGAAGTCTGCTCTGATTTATAAAGTATCAATGCAGTCAAACCTGGTTTATTGATCATGAAACAAAGGGATGAAAGAGCTCAATTAAAGATTTTTAAGAAAACCTTACACACAATAAAAATGGTAGGTGGACTCTCACAAGGCCAACCATGGTTCAAGTCCCAGACTTGGTGGCTTGCTTTCTCAATATCCCTCCCTCTTTCTCTCTCTGTCTCTCTCTGGTCAAATTAAAATAATAATAAATTAAAATAACTTAAAAAAAAAACTAACAATAAGAATCACTCTATCCAGTACAAAGTAGAAGTTGTTTAAAAATAGGGAGTATTGGGACCAGCAGTTAGCTTAATGGCTATGTCGCTGGACTGCCATGTAGTTGACCTCAGTTAGCGTCCCAGACCCAGTGGCTTAAACTCACGCCGGGCACGTGTGCATGCGTGCCCAAGATCCCGAGAGGAGAATGGAGGAGAAGGGATTGCGGCGTGACCATCCCCCCTGGGGGGGGGTGATTTCTCGCTTTCTGTCTCTATGTCTCTCTCTCTCTGTCTGGCGAGCACACGCGCCCTATAGCAAAAACCTCTCCAGAAAAAAAAAAGACAGAAAAATAGGGAGTATTTGGTTTTTAAGTTTTAAAATAAAACATTTTTTAAAGCTTATATAACATGTAATCTATAAATACAGCATGATTTTAGAAGAATAACTTGTTTCAAGTATCAATAGGGCCTGCTGAATTCCCAGAAGAATGATTGGTCATATTAGCTCCATGAAGCCAAAGACTGTGTTTCTCTGGATCAATGGCTATAGCTGTGTACTTTGTATACTGCCTAATACATACAAGATACCAAAGAGTTTTATGAATCAATAAATGAAGGCATTATAAGAAATGTATCATTTTTTTCTTTAGCCTAAGGAAAAAACAGATTTATTGCTATGCTGTAGGAATATATAAATCAGCATAGGGCTTCATAAGAGCACTAAAAGTAAATTACATAGAAGAACCAAGGAGTTTGGAATGAATTCCTATTTCTGACATTATCAGTAAGTAGGGAAAATGAGAAAGATTAGAAAATTGGAACTGGATGACGTCATAAGCACAGACCGAGGAGGGCGGCTTTTTCAGATTCTCTCTCCGCACGTGGCGCTCAGTTCCTCCCACGTGGTCGCTGGGGAGAACCTGCCGCTGTGCTGACCGGGCTCTGCCAGACACAGTGTCCATGACGATAAATTTTAGAATTTTTGGTCTCTTTTTCCATGAAAAGAAAACATACTTGAATTTTGATGGAATATTTGTGTCAGTCCAGAGATAGCCCATCATCTTGATGAATTT